TTACACTAAACTAGAATTATTTCCAGCTAAATCTTTTGTATTTAGCCTGCCCCTCCTGTTACATTGTGTATTTCGGCAGAGTATGGAGAGACATCTTAAGTAACATATTTAAAAAACAATGTAAGATATTCCTTCTCTTACAGCAAGGCAAGGTTGAGTCAGCGACTGAACAAACTGTGTACTGTATGTCTACTGAAGCCAACGCCCCACGCACCAGGTGTTGGAGTTTACTAGATGTCCCTTCTTCCAGTAATATGAAAGAACTCAACCACTGGCTTTTACAGCTTTTACTGCTTCATTATCTTATTTTTTTTCTTTTGGATCATTTTTGCTGCTCACCTCTATAGGTACATGAAAAGTAAGATGACCCAAAGACACAAAATGGTGGATTTTTACTTTATTGCTTTTCTAAAAACAAAACCAAGTTAACAATAAAGCAAACAAACAAAGCAAAAGTGTAAACATTTAACAATGATTTTTCCTTAAGTTTTACAATTATTAAATCATAAAAAAAATTCTCCTGTCTATATCTAATGAAATAAATATATTCTTCTGAATAAAGCATGCACAGACCACAGAATGTGTATCGGTGGGAAGGTCAGAGTCTCATGATACATGTGGGTCTTCACATGCCAGCATAGTAGCTACTCTGCAGGAGTAAATTTAGGCCAAGCGCCTGAGGTATTGAGGGAAATATATATATAACAAATGTACAACCAATTACTGATTACGACACACCCACTCACAGCTTGGAGCTCCTGTGAAGTTATTTCCCCACCCTCACCCCATGTAACATGAGAAAGCATCATGGAAACCTCCGGACGTAGAGCCAGGGAGTCCAAATAAGGACAGAGCAGCAGTGACACAGGAGATAAGAAAACGGGTCACATGTTCAACAAAGCTCTGGTATGAGTGGGAGTTTCCCATTTAATCATGTGTAGATGACACAGACAATAAAGTAGAGGGATAAAAGAGAGTTTTAAAATTCAGGCTCAGGTAGATGTTTTTTTTGGCACGTAAAAGAAAGCATTCAATAAGTAATAACTTGAGTACACTCTAAGAATCAACATCTACTGTTTTATATTGTTCTTATTAACTATTGACTTAAATCAAAACTTTATTCATCAAACAAATTAAAGGGAAAAAAAAAGAAGAAAACTATGGAGATGTAATAAAGATCAGTTGATCTGGATATTTGGTGGTGTTCAAGTTTTTACTTTGAGATTTAAGCAACAATTTGATTTTTTTCATTCTGTGTCTTCTAGTAATTAGTTTATTTTCATTTAGATTCATTTGAGTTATTTTCTAATCATATTTCAGCTCTGTTGTGTTTACTTCTTTCCCTTAGCTCCCTTCTAGTTACTTCTGTCTACACCTGCTCCCAATCAGTTGATTAATCCATTCATTGTTCTGTTTGGCATATATACTCCTACTTTTCAGCTACTAGGTGGATTCTTTTCATTCCCTCCTGAATCTCTGTGTTTCTCTGCTTCCTGTGTCCCCTGGTTAATTACTTCTGGATTTATTTTCCAGCTGCCACCACTCTTATTATTAAAACTGCAAGAAACCACCTCCATCTATGCATTTGGCTCCACTACAAACCTTCTCATGGATGACAAAAAGAATCCAGCCACAAGTAGCTGCAGAAGAGCAGTATATGGCAGAATTTGTTTTCAGGGGCGGCATTCTCCAAGGACCCGGTCTATCTGGATTGGATCCTTCAAGGTAAAAGAAAATAAGGAGACCGGAAGAGTTTTGGCTGCGAGTTCAAACAGGTCCAACCTTCCGTGGCTTTCACTATCATGAACTTTTCACTACTGTTCCTTTTTCTTTCTTTTTTCTTTTTTTTGTATTGTAAAGTGAACAGAGACTACACTCATGAGAATACAGAGTGGAATAAAGGTGACAACCACCATGAGCATGAAAAAATAAAAGCAAAGGTAATGATATAAAATGGGTAGAAAGATATAAGTAAATCCAAACACTGTATGTATAAAAATATATCTGCAAAATCTCTTATATTCAACAACAAAAAATACTTAATCCATCCATCCATCCATCTTCCTCCACTTATCCGGGGTCGGGTCATGGGGGCAGCAGCTTAAGAAATACTTAATAATAATAAGCAATTGTGCAAAAAATACAAATTACAAAAATAAAAAGCATATCAGATTTATAGCCCCCACACTGCAGCTATATAAGAATCTGTCCTTTAAATAACAACCTAACCCGTTTACACAGTAACAGATAAAAACCTTACATCAAACCCGACACATATCTAACTCAATAACCATTTAAAACAACAATTTTCATTGATTTCAGTCGGAACTATTCACATACTTGGATTATATTAATCTGCACAAAAGTACCTTTTTCCTCTGAGCATGGAGAAGCCGGCTTGCTTGAACTCGCAATGAATGCTGGGATATATAAGGTTACGTAGGGTACACCAGACCAAATCAGGCGAAAAGAAGGATGCATTTGTCAGCCTCATAATGAGAAGTCTTGCAATCCGGACAGACCTTGGCGCAGCGCTATGACGAATCGGCCTACTAATCTGACCTTCAGAGTACGCAGCCTGTAAATCTGAATTCAGCCTATATGCCAAATAGGACAATGAATGGATTAATCAACTGATTGGGAGCAGGTGTAGACAGAAGTAACTAGAAGGGAGCTAAGGGAAAGAAGAGGGGCACTGGGGGGCAACAGAGAGTAACTAACAAATACAACAGGGCTTAAATATAACTACAAAATAATTCAAATCACACTAAATGGAAATTAAACTAATTTCTTAAAAACTCAGAGTGGGAGACATAAAAGTGTAACTGAAAACCCAAAGTAAAAACTTAAACACAACCAAAAATCCAGATCAACAGATCATGACAGAAGAGCAGTTAAATGCTGGCTTAGAAATTAAACCAGCCAAAATCTACAGACAAGGAAAACGATAAGACTTTTTTTTTCTTTAATTTGTATTTCTAGTTACTGTATACTACCTGCAGAATACAATAAAAAAAGAGAACAAGGGTACTCTAAATTGTTCTCTCTATGATTGTATATACTAATAAGTGAAAGAGAAATAATACCTGTTTGATTTATAAATCTGAAAAGAACTGCACACATTTCGGACCCCATATTTCTTATATAACCTTCATTTAACCTTCTAATTAGTAAAACAAGAGTTCATTTATATTAAAATTATTCCGAATATAAATAAAACTTGTTTTTTGAAGGTCTCTAAGGGTCATCAGAAACAATAGGGGAAAAAAACACAAGGAAAACTGTGCCATTGAGGCTTTATGCATTAAAAATATTTAGGTAGTAGGGAGAAGCAAGCTAATAAAAAAAATAGAAACTCAAGCATTTTATATTGATGTGCTGAAAGGGCCAAACCAAAGTCTAAAACTTGGTTCACATATAAAACTGTGGATAAGACTTGATATCTGTTTTTCTTTTTATATGGGTGCCAAGAGGAAAGCTATTGTTGAAAATGATTAATCAAAGTCCTTTCATTGCTGTCAGAAGTTACACAAAGGACATTTCATACAGTGCATGTTGATAGTGCTCTGCCCATGACCTAAACCCTTTAGCCACCATTACTCATCAACTGGATCATTACTGGAAGCCAAATTATTCAAACTAACAGTAAAACAAACCAGGAAATATATCACTCTCTTAAATTAATCTATTTGGTGACAGAAAAATAACACTCCAATATGAAACATGGTAGTGGATTCATAGATCAGAGTGGATGGGTCAATGAATGGAGATACAGAACAATCCTGGATGAAAAACCTGTTGAAGGCTTCAAAAGACTTTAGACTGTAGTGAAAGCTCACCTTCCAGCCGGACCAAGACCCTTAATATATATTAATGTGTTGGAACGGCACAGTGAAAGTCTAGGAATAAATATGATCTAAAGAAAATGGACAACCAGTATTCATCTTTCTTCTACCACCAGCAGCTAATTTGTGTTGGCTTTTCAATGAAGACCCTTTCACAAAATTTTATAATTATGTTATACTGTTGAAAATAGCCAATAACTAACTGCAACATTTATTTCCCTTTGAAATTAATATTGTATCTTGAATAGAATAGAATATTATGGAATAGAGTAGAATAGAATAGAATAGAATAGAATGTGTAAAGTCCAAAGGGAATTAATAATTTTGTCATACAAAGTAATAAACAGAAATTAAAGCAGCTGTTCTTTTGTTTACAGAATTAAATAAAAAGCATATAGATACACTAACATTAATACTTCTTGTATCTGTACACAGTGTTTTGGTTTATTAGCTACAAAACAACACTAGATACCTGATTGACAGCAACAGATAGCTGATAAAGCATATATACATCAAAAGAGTAAAGCAACACAAGCATTGGCTTGATCCAGACTTGATTTAGTTTAACAATGCATTGTATGAGGCCACTTTCAGCACAAAAAACACAATGTATTAAGAAAAACATTTAATAATAATAATAATGTATACCAATAAATACAGTCTTTAAATAAACATTTTTAATGTAAAAGCTGGAGATGGTGTTGTACTAAATCCTAACAATATCAAAAAGCATTTTATTTCAGATTTATTACTGTTCTTTTATGAGAAAATGAGGGTCAAGACATATCCTCAACATAAGGTTAGGTATTCACATTGGAGATAGTCATTATGAATGTCAGACTGATATATTTTCAATAGATCACACATTAAAGCTTGCAGCACTGATGTGTCACATGTCAATGAATGAAAAACGTGAAGATGGACAGAGCAGCATGTGGCTAAGGGCTGAAACATGAGGAGGGCTGAGTGAGCAGATACTCCCAAACGCTGGTTAGACATAAGGTAGACATGTCACACTACACGACATGTCAAATCATTAATCATTCACTCATGGTACGCTTTTAATTAAGAATATAGTTGGAATATATTTATTTTATTTACATTCTTGGCTTCAAGATTATCTCAGTTTATTCAAACAGTTTTCCAGCATCTCACCTGCTTTGTTTCCCCATGATCAGTGGTAAACCCTCTGGATTTATCATTTTACTCCTCAGAATGGCAGAGTGAGGCCTCAGGGAAACACAACAGGTATATTCCTTAAACGTGGGGAGTTTCTTGAAGTATAATTATCCTTTTTAAGATCATCGTCTTCTTTATTTCTCACAAGAAGCAAAGTTGTGAGCAGCCTTGGACACCTAGATTGATATATTCAAAGTGTAAAAGCATTAGTCTTTCATTCAGGAAATAATTAGTTGTTGCTGCTCCTGTGCCTTCATAACAACCAGTAACTCTTTTCTTTATTCCAAAGCATCCCTAATTTAAAGTAAAAACTCTTAGTTGTGCAACATTTGTTGTGATTTGTTTACTTTCTGGTCATACACACAATAAAGGCTCAATTCAACGTTGATACTTACTGGCTATGTTTGTGGGTTACATGTCCTGCTCAGGAGGTCTTGTGCCAAACCTGTGCTGAGGCTCAGTGCTTCTTATAAATCAGGGCTGTGCCAGACTGCAGAATGGGGCGTTGCTGGACTTCAGAACAGGAGGAGGGTTTCTTTGTCTAAAAATAGTACAGCTTTCCATGCAGATGCCCTATTTGGTCGAGGCAAAGTCAGTCAGTGCTCAGTTATATTCCATCTGACAGAAAAGGAGCACTAAGCTCCACACAACGCCTATGTAAAACAGTGTGCTTTTTGTAATATTGATGACCCATATTAGTCCTACTTTATGTATAGTCTGTAAGGTCGAGTTCAGGGTTTTGGAAAATTTACTGGTGTATTCATACTGTTCAACCAGTACTTCTATATTTATTGTATTCTTCTGTTTGGACAACTATTTCATTTTTTTTTTTCAGAATTTCATGATGATTTGAGGTGTAATTAAATAATTTGGATAGTTCTTCATCATTATTCCTCCCACACTGTTCAAAATACTAAACAATGTCTTTGTTACCTTGGTTGATAAAGCGCACTTTTTGCTACTAGGGTTTGGTTTTTGTTTTTTAACCTTGGCCACTGGCTACGTTTGCACCATTTGGCAACAGGATAGGGGTAGGGTTGGGATAGGGGTCAACTTTCCTTTTAAAAAGGAACTTTCTGATTTTAAGAAACAAAATAAAGTGTCTAATTTAAAATCGGATTTGAATTAAATGGTTATGAAATCACTGGACACGGAAGACGATTAGGGCCACTGGAAAAAAAAAAGTTAACTGATTTTAAAATTTTATTTCAGTTTAGTATCAGAAAAAAAGTCAGAATTCTGAGAAAAAAGTCAGAAGTCTGAGATTAAAGTCAGAATTCTGAGAACAAAGTCAGAATTCTGACTTTTTTTCCCATACTAAACTGAAATAAAATTTAAAAATCAGTTAACTTTTTTTTTTTCCAGTGGCCCTAATCCTCTCACGTGAGACACACACAATAAAAGGCAAAAAGAAATTCATAATGTCCGTTGGGTGGAAGATAATGCCGAGAAATGTCCCTTGTTTTTCACAGAGTTGGCAACCCAGCAATAGTTCAAAGATTGGATCAAAACAAACTGAAGCATGGCACTAGTAGCATCTCACAGAGGGCCTGTTTAACATCTTCCTCCAGCTTATTTACATCAAATTAACATATAGACAGTGGTTTAAAGTAACAGAGTTAATTTACTTGATTACTGTACCTAAGTAGTATTTTTAATTATCATTACTTTACTTGAGTATTTTTTAGAGGTGTTGCAGAATCTGCAGCACTAGTGGTTCTATGGGTCAATACATCTGAAAAGTACAAGGTTCTTTAATAATACTCTGAAAATTACACAGAAAAGTACTGATGTAAGGAAATTCAATTTGTATTTTTTTATACTCAAGTACTTTTAAAAACATGTACTTTTGAATACTTAAGTATTTTCACAAGTGAGTACTTGAATACTTTAACTTGAGTAGATGTTTGATCAAGTAACTTTACCATAGTTGAGTCACATTCGACTATGAGTACTTTCACTCAAGTAGCTACTACTGATGAGTACTTCTACTTCAACCACTGGGGAGGAGTGCCTGAGTTAGCTGTGTTAATACACAAAGGCAGGGCTATAATGATGAAAGCCTGTAAGAGCAACACAGGAGTGTACCAGCATGTGACCTTTGAACCGACATTCAACTGCAATAACCACCGTTCAACCAATTGGAACAGCACTGAGCCAGTTTTAGACAATTATTCAAAAAAAAAACTCACATGAAAATGTTAAATAAATTTGTTGTTAGAATTGCACTTCAAGGGCCCGATTTATACAGTCTAAAAGCAAAAAAAGGTTTTGGGGATAAATAAAACTATGTGCTTTAATCTGGACCCAAAGCCCCCCCACCAGCCCACTCTTCAGCACATGTTAGAAATTTACCATTAATTCTAAAACCTTCAAAATGGATCACTCTGCCTTTCTGCAGCCACACTGAAGCGATCTACATTAAACAGATTAATAAGATTTACTCTACATTATTAAGGGGTCTAAGAAGAAACAGGTCAGTAATCAGTAATCCCATAAAATAGCTCCCAGGCTTGAGCTATTTTATGGGATTACTGATGGCTTGGAGTCCCAGCAAACATCTATTTCAGATTACTGACCACAGCATTATATTAGGTCTTACATAAAATTATTTTTATTATATTGTATTATATTTTATTATAATATGTTTGTAACTATTACCAAACTTGAAAGAACAAAATAAATGTCTTAAAAGTTTGATTTTGAATAAGAATTTTCTTTCTATAAAATTCACATGGACTATGAAGGATGATTGCCTGGTGTGCATCTCATCTGTTGGATATAAACTGACCTCTGTTAAAGCAGCTCCAAATGGAAATAAGATGGAAAAATAAAGACTATACTGCCGCCTTCTGGGGAACGTTCAATGCTGCGCCAAGCCGTGGATACGTGCGCTATCCAAAGAACCCTAATGCCCCCTCCAAATAAAATAATAACTATAATGTAAAAATATCAACATAAGACAGGTTCTGTCCTCGTTTAAGAATGATTTTAGACTGAAATGTTTATGGAATCCATGGAAACACATCATGTTTGCAGTTGTCCACATATAAATAGCAGATTCCAGATCTTTAGGATTGTATTATTGTATGGCTACTGATGTGAAAGGGAATCAAAGATATCTAAATAGTAGCTATTCTTTAGATATATTTGATTAACTTTTGCATCAGTAGTCACACAAACAAAGATATCTAAAGAATAGTTGGTTTTCTCTGTGGAAAATATCCACAACATGTGGATGACTGTTGCTCACACCTGTGCGTAAAGTTTACTGAACAAACGTGTAACTGAACCTAACCACGGCAGGGGATGGGTTAAATCCTCTTCATGGAAGTCTAAGCTGACCAAAGTAACTGGGTTCAAATGAAGAATCCTGTAGATCCAAGGTCCGTCCCTCCTCTCATTCCCATCTGTTAAATGGAATGCTGTTTATAGGAGAGCATCTTCGCTTTCCATCCTCTTTTGTTCGCAAATTCTGTAGCCTAACATACTTCTGTAAATATATCATTTAAACAGGTGGATTTTTTTCACCCAGTTTTATTATCATGGCAAAGTTTTTTGTTTTATTATTTTATATTTCCCAAGTTCTTCCTCCTTTCATCTTTGGACAACAACGTCCAGACGGAGCCTGGAGGCAGCGCATCCAGTGGCAGAATAACGGGCAGGTTTACAGCCTGCTCAGCACCGGATCACAGTACCAGGCTCCGGCTCGGTCTGCCAGCCTGTCCAAAGTTTATTTGAGCAGCAGGAGGGAAGGCGCTGCAGGTAATGTGCCAAGTGCGCACAGAGGAGTCGCTTCTGGAGCGCAGGTTGTGAGGCATACTGGTGAACGGCGGTTCAATTCCTCCTCATCCGACGGTTTAAGAAACTCAGGAGGCAGGAGAGAAACCGCACATCTAAGTGAATCTCATCCCATAGCAGGAGGCGAGCAGCTTAGTGTGCAACACCAACAATTACGCGCAGCGCCGGAAGGGATGCTTGTCTCTAGGCAACCCATGCAAACTGGGGGTTTTATTCCAGCGCATGTTTCAGTTCTGGAAACCAAACCAGAGGCCCCCGCTGCTTTCCCAGTGTCAAGCGTGTATGTAACAAACGAGGCTGATGAGGAGGGCATGGTCAGCGACGATCCCCGGAACCCTTTAAAGACGCACAGGAATTCTGTTTTCTACAACATGTACCCCTCCAGGGGAAGGTCAGTGGGAGCAGGGTACGGAACAAGGTATTTCCACAATGGTGAGTACATTTCCCTTTCAATGGAAACGAGTTAAGTCAGATTAAAAATAACTTTAAATGTTGAATAACTGAGGGCGCGTTTATTCTTGAAATTTGAAATCTGGGAGACAGAATCCACATTTAAACAAAGTGGATTTAATTATCAGTGATCTTTCCCCTCCAAATAAGTATGTTTAATTATACAATGTACATTACAAGAAAGGATCATACAAAAAAGAGAATTCAGCTCCAACTTAAACAAATTGCTTCTTTTAGATTTTTAACAAAACATTTATTGAACAAAAAACAGTTAAAAACTTAAGTTTCTAAGTTAAATAAATTAAGTTATGTAAACTTAATCCGATTACTTGTTACTAATTCAAGGTCTTATTTTTCTTTTTTAATAAAGGGATTTATTTAAACAGAATTTTATATAAAATTTATGACAGTCTGAGCAATATATTAAATATATTAAATATATAAAACTGACAGCTCAAGATATAAAACTGACAAGTCAATATATAACAAATATCTTATAACATATATACTAATATAACAAAAAATATAACAAAAATAAATAAACATCATGTAGTTTTAAATACAGAGATATATTAAGGTGGACAAATGTCATGACAAAAATCATGGAGAAGGCTGTTAAAATGACAATTATTCAACAGTCACTGGCACCCTAATTGATGAAGAGCATCTCTAAATGGCGGAGCCAAAGCAAATCTTTAAAAGTTTTTTCGGAAAGTAGGCAGAAAATGGTTTGCTGTATTAAGATGGAAACAGCTGCAAAAGTTAACAGGCATCTGTTAACTGAGGCGGAACCATTGAGGGGTTGGGTAGAGATTCAAAATGTGTGAAATGCAGCTGGAGATTGAATGTAAAGAGACATCATACATAGACATATCAAGGTAATTGCTTTGAGTCACTACTTTAAAAGACCAACTAATACCATTTTCAATTTTATGATATTTTGATAAAGAGCTATGTTGCAGAAACAACATTAGTTTTATGGGACAAAAGGTATTTAATTTAGTTTTTCTCAGCAAAACGTTTCAAGCTTTTCTTCTTCCCTCAAAGGCATGACAACACAAACAACATTTTTAACTTGCTACAGCTATCATGTTCTATGGACTTTGAAGGGACTCTAAGTTGTAAAATGCATCAATATATCAGGATCATCTCATAGCCGGATTACTAGAAGTCTGTGCTTTTATTTTTTCAATTGAGTCTGCATCCCTCAGCTGCTGATTGAATCTCAG